CGGGCCGTCGGAGAAATGGGAGACCCGGGGTCGGAGGTGAGTGTGCGGGCAGCGGGCCTCGGCGGCCCGAGCCGATCCTCGAAAGGGTTTGCGCGTCCCTCGGCGGAGGCCTGCGGCTCGGCCGCACGCGCGGGGCGAGGCTGCTTCAGCATCGCGGGCCGAGCCCGCTCCTGGGCCTGGCGTCCGTCGGAGCGAGGAGCCAGCAGCCACAATGGCCTCCCGGCCCTGCACAGGCTCCAGAGCCCCTTGTCGGTCCTGCTCGGCCAGCAGAGCGGCCTTTCGAGACAAGGTTGCTCCGAAGAAGTGAGCGCGCCCTCGCCCTTGCTCGTGGTGGGGGCAGAGGTCCTGGGAGGATGGAGGGTAGGAACCCGTGTTCAGCGGGTCAGCCCACCCCTGCCCACACCGCTGTGCCCGAACCGGGCTCCTCCACGGACGGGGTTGGTGTGGAGTTGTGCCGCTGGGCGTTGCTTGTACCTTTCGGGGAAATCTCAACCTGCAAGTATGAGGCTGTAAAGATGAGCATGTTTTGGCTTATTTTTGTAGATGATAGAATCTGCCCGTCCAGCTGGGCCTGAGGCATCAGAGTCAACCATGGATGAAAATGAAGATGACATTCAGTTTGTTAGTGTAAGTAGCCATGGCCCTCGTTTCCCCCAGAGTCAAAGACGACGGTAAGCTCTTAGGTAGTTACACCACTCCTGTTTGCCGCCGTCTAATTCCTTTTAGACTCCAAGACTGAGGTGGTGTGAAGCCTGGCCATCTGGATTAGGAATTTACCAAGAGAGGGATCTGAGTCAGGAAGGAGTCATGACAAAGACCATGCCCTAAAGCACATGCTGTATGTTTATGTCTCCTGGCTGCATTCAGAGCCACTTTACACTGTATTTAGACAAAATGCTGGTCCCAAGAGTGTTTGGGAACGGGGCAACAAGATCTTCTAAAAGATGGCACACAAAGGACTTGATTCACATGGAGAAGGGACACCAAAGTACATTGGGGCAAAGGTAACAATTTCTCTACATCCACGCAAAAGTAACAAACTCTCTGCCATCTAGTCCGTTCTGACTTACACCAACTCAGTAGAATAGGATGGAACTGCCCCTGAGGCTTTATGAGACTAATCTTTTGAGTGGAAAGCCTCATCGTTCTTTCTTGTGTAGCAGCTGGTGGCCAGGTCAGCAGCCCAGTGTGTAACCCACTGCAGCACCTGGGCTCCAAATAAACAGGAGGAGGTAGAAAAAGCAATGGGTTGCTGGGACTCAAAGCTTCACACTGCCCAGTTAAGGCACAGCATGAGGCTTAATCTTTGAGAACATCATGTTACATCATAGTACAGTTAATGGTCACAATGAGGATTCCTGCACCATCAGGAACATGCTATGTTTTTGTGAGTTGATTTCCATTGTGAGATTAATTTTCAGGCATTAGTATGTGAAAATAAGCAGGTTCCTGGATTTCACTCAAACCCTTTATCAGAATTTCATGGTGGGGTATAAAAGTCTTCATTTTGGAACAAACTTAAGGGTATATGGATCTCTGAAACACACTGTCTGGCACATCAGTTTAGAAATTGAAAGGGACAGTCATATTTTGGGATGGTTTTCATCTCAAAATGTTAAGCTTTTAGACACTGCCAAAAGTGTTATGTCAGCTAACTGAAGAAATCTAATGTACCACTGTGGTTCTGAATGCTGGGGTTTGATAATAAAGTGATACAGTTTTTCATTTGTGGAAGGCCTGTTTCGGGTATTTCTGTGTGTTCCTTTGTTGTAGGTTTTAAGCAGTTTGCCCTCCTGGACCTGGAACATTAGGGCCTTTGTGGTAGTGTTACATTGTTTGGTGCTCCGGAGTTTTTGCCTAGGTGTCCTTCTCAAGATAAAATTCTTAGCTTTCTTCCTCATTGCCAGTACATACTGTATTTATTTTATATTTAGGAATTTTCAGGAAAGATTGTGACCTGATCTTTCTCTCACTGTGGACTGCTGCTATATGGTTGGTATGGGATTCCATAGGACAGGACCGATTTTTCCTGTTGCCCTAAATTGTATATATGTGGCCAAAAATTATTTACCTTGATGTTTGTGCCAATAAATCGAGGAAAAAACATTTCTTTGTGAAATATACGTTGTTGGAGAAACAGATGGAACCTATTAAAAATCTGTCCAAAAGTAAGTATTTGTTTAGTACGTTGAGGAAGAAAGAATTGCATTGTAATATCTGACTAGGCTTATGGATAAACTTGTGTTCAGTAGAGATGTAAAAATACTATTCAACAAACAAACAAAAATAAATAAATAAATAAAATTAAGCTGCCTTTGCACAGCAAAAAAACCCCCAAAACTATTAATTAAAAATTTTTAATGTGTTATTTTGCATCAAGCACAAAGATTAATACAATTAGTGTGTTGTGTATCTAACCTGATATATCCCATTAATCCTTGTTTTCAACAACTCCAAATGGGAGATGCATTGTATACAGTAAATGGAAGTTTAATTCTAGAGAACCCACTGCCATTAAGTCGATTCTGACTTTCAGTGACTACGTAAAATTTCCCAGACTGAAAATCTTTATAGGGCAGATAGCCTCATCTTTTTTCATGGAATAATTCTAGAATGAACGTACTTAAAATAATCCCTTTGCTAAGATAATTAGTAGTAGTTTAATTCTATTTTAAAATACAATCATGGTTGATAAGTATTGACTTAGGTGACAGGGAAGATGGAGCTCCATTAGGGAGAAGAGAAATTTGGGGGCCTGTGGGCTGGAGATGTTGAGGGCTTTGAACTGTTGACTGCAGAGTTAAAGGGAGAAGAGAAATAATGGGGCCTGGGGTCTGGAGATGATGAGAGCTTTGAACTGTTGACTGCACCTAATTCACAATAAAAAATTCATTTATTAAAACACACACATATTCAAGACAGAGTCCACTATTTAGCTCAACAACCAGTAATAGATTCGATTTCTCCAGGTTATACTTATTTAGGAAATATGTATATATGTAAATGTTCTTCAGATATAAAAAGTGTTAGGGTGTTATTTTAGGTTTCGTTTTCTTTGGATTTCCTAGCCCTTAGTCTAATTTCTCGCCTTAGTCTAATTTACCTGGTGAATTAAATCTTTATGGAAATTGTATAAAATACAGTAGTATCTAAAACTAAACACATGCCCAAAAAAATAGTGATAGACACTGATAGGGTAAAAATGAGTCCTTTCATTCCGTTTAATTTTTATTGAAATGTAACATACATAGAGGCATGCACAGTTCATAGTTGTATGGGTTTTTGCAAAACCAGTAAAAATATTTAACCACAGAAAGCCTTGTGTTTGGGTTTGATGCTCTTATTTTATGCTTCGCTGGTTAATTTGATTTCTTCTTCATTCACCATCTTTATGTCTTCCCGTGAAACTGCAAGTGTTTTAAGCAATTTTTCTCCCTAAAGACTAAGAGTAAAAGCTGATGATAAAATTGGTCACAGTGCTATGTTAGATATAAAAATATCAGAACTGAGGAAACTTATGGTTATCTTGATAACTGCACATGAGATCAAGATTTCAACCAAGATTATATCTATAATATAAAATTATTCTTTGAAAATGTGGGACTAGTTAAGGAAATCAATATATAATTTTACAAGTAATGTTTTTTGGTGTTAGTACATGGCTTTAGTTCAGAGGCAAAAAATGAATACTCACATAATACTGAAAGCTATCAATCGGTTAAGTAAGTACGCTAGAGCTTACAAGGATAATTGCAAATACATCTACATTCTTTGTTTCAGTGAGCAAGATGAGATAGGCAGTGAGGATTGTGTAAATAATTTTAATAAAAAGTAAAGGCATCATTCCAGAAAGTGTCATTCTGGAATTTTTTTGATTGTTAGTTTGTTTTAATGAGACAGAAAATATGGACCAGACTGTATAGCTCTTGAATTATAGACTAAATTTGAATTATAAAGTCGATAGTTTGCAACCATTCTATATTTTGAAGTGAGCTTGGTTGTAGAATGTGTTCTATTGTCCCTGACTTCTTCATACAGAGGATTGGGCAGCATTATTTAGGGTTTGGGATTAGCATTTTACATATATGGCCAAACCGGACTCATGGTCATTCAGTTAATTCCAACCCATAGTGACTCTGTAGGCATCACTGTCCTGTGAGTTTCCAAGACTATATATCTATATGGAAGTAGAAAACCTCATTTTTCTCCCGCACAGTGGCTGGTGGTTTTTAACTGAGTTTGCCATCACCCACTAAGCCACTAGGGGTCCTTTTGCATATATGAGGGGCTTAAATAATGGAATGAAAAAATAATAGAATTTTCCCACTCATGAACAGATCTGTGTTAATGTTTTAGACTAGGGTAAACTACTTTCTTTGTAGACCATGCCTTAGTATATTGACATAATTTCCATTGTAGGTAATAGGTATTTTAGTTTGAGACTCAGTTTTTCTAACAGGAATAAAAACTTTGTTTCATTTAAAAAATGCATCTTGGAATTAGATTAATCTGTCATCTTCTCTGTTGCCACTCTTGCACTTGTGTGTCTCCCCCCTGAATTGCTTGGCCTTGCAAGTAATCTTTTGTTATTCAGACAGAGAAATGATAATGGCTATTGACTCTAATGGTTAGAATACATTCAAGTAATAAGAGGACCATGAATATAAATAGTTGTTAGAAATAAGGGAAATTTATAGTTGCTCTTTCTTTTTGGAGGAATCGGTTGCTTAGTTCTGGTTAGCATTTTGATTTATTCAAAAGTGGGAGCAGAAGCAGGTAGTTATTTTTTCGTATTAAAGGGAGAGGAAATGTCTTGCCCAGAAAGGTATACAATAAGCATTACTGATTATCCTGTGGAGGAACCTTTGGGACGTGGTAGTTACATGTTGGACTGCGATACACAAGGTCAGCAGTTCAAAACCACTAGCTGCTCCTTGGGAGACAGATGGAGCTTTCTACTCTTAACAGAGTCTGGGATACTCACAGGGCAATTCTACTCTGCCCTACAAGGTTGCTATGAGCCAGCATGAACTTGATGCCAGTGATTTTGGTTTTTGATGTTTATACTGTGTAGCCCTGGTGACATAGCATTTGAAACCCAGCAACTGCTCCATGGGGAAAGAAGAAGGCATTGTGCTCCCACAGAGATGGACAACTTTGGAAATCCAAGGGGGCAGTTTTATTTTGTCCCACAGGGTGAGTCAAATTTGACTTGATGGCAGCCACTATTACTCCTGATTGTGACCAATTGCTTCCCTTCTCACTCCCATTTTACATTTTGCCTCCTTCCTTTCGTTGTCTTTCCCTGCTCTTCCTTCATGAAAACTCTGCCCTCCCCCTCTATTTCTGATTGCCTAGAGAATTTCTTAGTTTGCTATATGTATGAACATGCAATAAAATGTTATGTTCACATTTAGTATTAGCAAATTGTGTTGGAATTCTATTTTTAGTGTTGAGATTTGTGTATGATTTTTTTTTTAATCCAAATGCATATTTCTTGAAGGGAGGAAATGAAATTAAAGTGATTTTATGGATCAGAAAAGCTGCTGGATCATTATTTCCTTCCCTTTTCTTAGAAACTACCCAAACCAGAAATTGATTGAAATAAGATGTCTTAATATCAGGGATAGATTTTTAGGTTCAATACATTGATCATACATTAGAGAATATCTGTTTTTCTTTTATTTATTTTTGGTTGGTGATTTTATTTGACACCCATTTATTTTCCCCAATTAAGGCAAAAATCCCAATTTTAAAATAAGTTCTCTAACAAAAGTCTGTGCGGCTACCACGTCACGCCGCCACTTTATCTTCTTTGGTGGGCCGTAGTCTTAGGGGGAGACAGTTGTCTTTGTAACTGGGGACTACATCTAGGGAAGATCATTAAGCACCATCTTTAGGGAGCCTTTGGGAGAAAGAAGAGGTTTTCTATTCCTGTAAAGAGTACAGCCTTAGAAACCCCTAAGGCCAGATTTATCCTGTCTCATAGGGTCACTTTGAGTCGGAATCTGCTCGGCAGTGAGTTTGGCTTTTGGTTTTGGTTTAGGTGGCTTAGTGGACTATATGTTGGCCTGTGAACCTCAAGGTCAGCACTCTGAAACCACTCTCCACTTTGTGGAAATAGATGAGGCTTTCTACTTCCTCAGCAGTTCTACTCTGCCTTATTAGGGTCATTGTGAGATGGGATTGACTTGATGGCAGTGAGGATTTTGGAGTAGCTGGTCTGGTAGAGATGGGTTAACAGGCCTGGTTAACCAAAAGGTTGGGGGGTTGCACTTACCCAAAGGTACCTTGGGAAGGGAGTCCTGGCTATTGACAGCTTTCCATTCAGGTTTGCTTATGTTTAGCTTCTTTGATCCCACTTCTGGTTGCCTAAATAGCTCTTCTTCAATCTTAAAATGCTACCCTTTCCTCAGGAGCTTCCTGGCTCTCTACTTTCTTCCTTGGCAGTATCATAGCTTCCATTTCATTCTAGAGCTTAGTGAGAGCAACTCCTAAATCTTTATTTCTAAGCTATTTATGCCTACATTATAGACCTTTATGTCCAGATGTCTACTGTAAGCTTGGGTACCATTGGTATTTCAAATCCATTTTATTCAAGTATACAAGTTTTCTCTAGCATTTTTCAAAATCCATTTTATTGAAGTATACAAGTTTTCTCTAGCATTTTTCTAGTCACTCACGCTTGAAACCTTACAGACCAGTAGACTCCTTGTTTGTTTTGTTTTAGTTTTGTGCAAGAGGGGTGGGGTCGCCAGACGGACTGTCCTTGTTGTTTACCCCCATATTCTCTTATTTATGTACAACCTCATTTTTCAGCTTGCTAACAACACATTTTCATTGGGGCATCGTTTTGTGCCTGGTTTGACTAATTAATCCTTTCCCCTCATTATCCAGAGCATAAACCAAAAAATTAAACTCACTGCCAGCGAGTCAGTTCCGATTCACAGCAACCCTGCAGGACAGGGTAAAACTGCCCTTGTGAGTTTCTGAGACTAACTCTTGCGGGTAGAAAGCTGCCTCTTGCTCCCCTGGAGGAGCAGATGGTTTTGAATTGCTGGTGAGCAGTGTGGTTAGCTGCCCATCGCATAGCCCACTACCCAACAGGCTCCTAGTTCTGGAGCATAACCCATAACCCTTATAATTGTATTCTTATGGCAACATTTATGAATTCCCTTTTCCTATGGAATGAAAAATCTAGGCTTTTAAGTTTAACGTTCTTGTCTGAACCCCCCAATAAAATGATTAAAATAAAGTTTAGCATTCAAGGCCTAGTCTGTTGAAGGCAGCATGGAAGGTAAGAATAACAAAAATATAGACTTGATTGCTGATGCTATAGGGGTAGGGAATTATGTATAGCTTTTAGTAAAATATCTCCATGTTTTTGAGTCTGGATATTTATCTTATCTGAAGGTATTGGATCATAACACATGTATCCTGGTAGTGCTGTTTTCATATGTGTCCTTTCTCCAAAGGATTGACTTGGATCTAGGGGTGTAGCCTGTTTCCTCTATTGGTCTTGTCCTTATTTCATATTTCTGTGTTCTGAAGCTTTTTCTCTCAGCTTCTTTTGTTTGTGGTTATTTTGTGCTACGTAAAGGCTTCTTCAGAGGAATCTTGACAAACACAGGGAAACACTAAGTGTTGTAGATATTAGTTGATTTGAATAACTGTTCATGATCGACAAATTCTAATTTTTTTATAGGAAGGACCATTAAGACCTGTCCTTGAATACATTGACCTGGTCAGCAGTGATGATGAAGAGCCTAGCACCTCCCAAAGTGATGTAAGTACATTATATTTGTTTTGCATTTCTTCACTTGTGTCAATTGGTGTTTTGTAGAGAGTTTTCAGGTCAGTGATTGCTGCAGTTAGAAGTTATAATATTATTTCTGCTAGGATAATAGTTCAAGAAATTCTTTACCTAGAACAACTTCTACTTCCAGTTTTCTTCCTCTACTTCATCGAGGATGTGAAAGGATAATGTAAAGCAGGGAGTTCTAAGCCCTGGAGGTAATAGATAAAAAGGAACGGAATAAAAATTGTAAGCTTTTTGGCTTCTCTTTATTTTCCTTTCCTTTTCTTTCTTCAAGTACTCTATAGAACTGGATGCTTTTGTTTCAGAACCACATGGCCACAGAAAATTTGTTTTATTTTGGAACGCTATGTGGATATCCTGTAGGAAGTAGAAGGTGGGGAATGAGTTCAGTTATCACACCTTCTAACCCCCTCTATTCCCCATATTTGGCATTATTTTTCTTAACCTGTGGTGTATTGGTTGTGGGTTTTCCCTTAAACCAATATTTCCTTTGCCATGAGAATCAAACTAGCTGTTCCCTTTATAGCAATCTTTGTGGTCATCTTTTGCCTTACCCCAGGTTTTTATTATTGGGCTGTTTTCTTTGTGGATTAGAGTCAACCTAACTCTTGTCCAAGGTGGCCAGAAGGCTCCTTATTCTGTGGTATCAGGGATGGAGACCTCGTTTTGGACTCAGAATTATCTGGGTTTGAGTCCCAGCCTTATTGCATACTAGTTCTGTGACTTTGGATAAATGAACTGTTTTATCCTCAGTTTCTTTATCAAATGACAGTGATACCTACCTCACAGGGTTGTTGTGAGGGTGAAATGAAGTCACAGGTATGTAAGCTCCTTGAAAACTACTGATCATAAAGTAAGACTAGAAAGTGATTGGCAGGGCATTGAAGAAGGGTCATAAAAGTGCAAATGCTGCAGGGAAAGGCGTGTATGGGTGTTTGTTTTTCTCCCAGTGGACCTTTCCAAAGCTTTCTTTACCATCATTAACTTCTTGAGGGATTACATATATTGAATGAGGTTTTCTCTCCCTCACCTGTTGTCACTATCTTTTATTCCAATATGGGACCAAGCAGCAGACCAGGATGGTTACACTGAAGCGTTCTCCTTTTTCAGGGATAGAGTTCAGAATTGGGGCTTTTGGGGTAGTTAAACTTGTGTTTGACATCTGTGATCCTCTTGCTGACCTATAGTGGATTAGATCTTTCATTATTATAATATTTTTAAAAATTGAAGTCTGCTTACTGGACATGCATCTCTCCACTTGAAAGTTAATGTATTAAAAGCGTATTTTTTTTCCTTCCTTGGTTTTCTTGTTCATGTGGATAACCCAGAGAATGCCTGAGTCTAAGGTGCCATCCTCTGAGAATCATCGCCCAGACATGTGCTCTAGCTGCAGTGCTGCTCTTTCGATTAGAGACAGCAACTCCTTCTCTGGGAGTTGTTCCAGCAGTCCGCAAAGGATAGTTTCTCAACCATCCTCTGTTGAGAACCCATTGGAGAACCAGAACAATGATGAGAATAATTCAGACATTACAGTCACTGAGACACAGACACCTAAGTCTTCACAGGATGTTCAGACTCTGCCTTCGTTACCTCTTCTGGACCCCCAGAAATCGTTGGCTTCTTTTGAGGTCAAGGAAGATTTACTTAGAGATTCTTCTTCACAGAATGGGCAGGATGCCATCCTTTATCTCCAGACACAAGTGGCTGAGATGTCCCGAGTGATACGTGATCTACAGTCCAGGAGCTGTTTTAGATTTCATCATTCTAGGCCAAGTGAGAATTCCTCTGCTTCTTGGGACATCTCCACTTCGAAGGAAGAAAATTTATCCACAATTGATGAAGAGGTTGACTGCAAATCCCCCTCTGCCGATGACAAAGGACAGCCCTCTGACCCAAGCCAGTCTAGTTTCACAGGTCTTTTGAAGAGAATGGAACAAAGAGGTGTTATAAAGAGAGTAACATTACAACCTGAAGCAGAACTATGTGAAGGGAGGTCTGATTGTGTGACCTCTAAGAAACGATTGGTTCCTCCATTGCACCCTCTTCTAAGAATTGCCACCACTGAGGTATTTAAAGATCCTGCTGATTGCCATCCTTCTTCCTTCATGGGACACAGGGTATATCCTGTGGCTAAAGACACCTCTCCTTTCCAACCAAATCCACCAGCAGAGGGCCCCATAGTAGAAGCAGTAGAGCACAACAAAAGAGGAAACACTACATCCCCTCTAGATTCTACCTCAAAAGAAATGGAGGTCATGGGTTGCAGATTCTATCATGCAGCTTCGATTGCAGCCCGAGCTGCTAGCTACATGGCCTATATGACTCAATATCAACGTAAACTCTGGGAAGACATGGAGGATCTGGTCCATGACCCAGAGTTTGATCGTGGGAAAGCAAGATGCATAATATCTGATGGCATGGATGCAGGGCTTTGGCAGCTGTGCACTACTAGGGACATAATGGACTCTGTAGTCAGAGTGATGGCAATGGCAATAGACTACAGACGGCAAGCTTGGCTTCGGCTTACGTCTCTCACTAAGAAAACCCAGGAGAAGATCTCACACTTGCCCTTTGATGGCACTTCTCTCTTTGGACATGATGTAAATGCTGCTGTTGCAGAAGAAAACAATATGAGAGAAAATGACTATAAAGATTACAATAAATACTCCAACCAGCACCGATACTTTTACAGTCATGATCAGAAAGCACATTATCACAATAGAGGCTACTCCAAAGGGGATTGGTATAAACCCCGAAATCACCCCTACAGATACAGAAAAAAGGGAGAATCCCCAGAACGCCATGGGTATAAGAATTAATAATTAGCGTCATCCAAGATCCCAACTATTTTGCTTGCTGCTCCTTCCTGCTAAATGGGATCTATAAGTAGAAGTCATCTAAAAACTGACTGCATATTTGGTAAAACCAAAATGGATATTTGAAGTCTAGACTTTTGGAATATAATAAAAGGACTCCTGTTTGATTTGCCAAGTGAATTGTGGAGACTTCATTTGAAGAAAGTTGTGGTCCAGCATGTACTTGGGAATCAGTCCTCTTATAATTTTCTTTTAAAGCCTATAGATTTGTTCCTCAGGAAACTCTTACTAGGAAACTGAGGGCTATCAGATTTTGAATCTCGAAATAGGCTACTACTGGTCACGGTTTACTACATTTTGAGGGCAAATCTTGCATTTGCGGATCATCAGTGCTGCTTTTTGTGGACTTCAGTTTGACAGGTCTTTATGAAAGATTATTTGTTGTAATCTTTTTTTGTGTCAAGATCATCAACTCACCAAGAAGCCGTTTTACATTCAAGCTATATGAGACTTTAGAATCAGCCATGAAGCTTTATGTCCAAGAACTGGAATACAGATGAAAATTTGCCAGATCTAGTTTAATTTCAGTATAATACCTTGATTCCCTGGGTCCAATGTGGATACCAGCCGGGGAAATCTGTTCTACCTTTGGCATCTTTGCAGAAATGATCACAGTTAACCTTATCAGTATGTTACCTTCAGTACTCCTTAAGCTACCTGTGAGAGAATTCTTTGTTATCAGTCCTTAATGGTCTTTGGCGTATCAACTGTGCTCATATCGAGCTGTAAGACCGTCACGGGAGTCTCTCCCCATAATCTGGGCCTTTCACCAAGCCAGCCTTCTTAAACAAACCTACCTTCTAGACATTGAACTCTCTTGAGCTTGATAATTTACCACATTTAACTACCCGCCCCCCCAAAAAGATACATACTTCAGTTTCCTGGAAATAAAAGATGTTATTTACATCATCCAGGCATATAAATCTGAATGCATAAAGAGGATAGATTCCAAACATGCCTGACAGTCTGGTTCCCTGTTTTTTTTTTAATCATTTTATTAGGGGCTCATACAACTCTTATCACAATCCATACACATCAATTGTGTAAAGCGCATTTGTACATTTCATTGCCCTCATCATTCTCAAAACATTTCCTCTCCCCTTAAACCTCCGGCATTAGGTCCTCATTTTTCCCCTCCCTCCCCTCTCC